AACAGAGTGCACAAATAGATCCTCACATATAAGGTAACTAATTTTAAACAAATGTGTCAACGTAAACTTGATGAGGACAGAATAGTCCTTTCACCAAATGATGCTGGATCAACTGGATATCCACATGGAAAAAAAAATAACCTCAATTCTTACCTAACAGCATACACAAAAATTAATTCAAAATGGATCATACCCCATACAACACTTCTGAAAAGAAAATTTCCAAGATCTTGCAATAGGCATGGATTTCTTACAGAGAACACAAAAACCATGAACCATAAAAGAAAAAAATTGATAAACTGGACTCCATCAAAATTAGAATTCTTACAACTCAATAATAAGATGACAAACAACCCAGTTTAAAAATGGACAAAAGATTTCAGTAGACACTTCACAAAGGAAGATATACCAGCAGCCAATAGCATATGAAAAGATGCTCAACATCATTAGTCATCAGAGAAACACAAATGAAACCCACAATGAGATACCACTACCTACCCACTAGAATGTCTAAAATTAAAAAGACTGACCATACTGGGCATTGGCAAGGATGTGGCAGAAACAGAACTCTCATACATCGCTGTTGGGAATATAAGACAGGATAACCACTTTGGAAAACACTTTGGCAGTTTCTTAAAAAGTTCAACACATATCTACCATATACCCCAGCAATTCCACTCATCCATATATACCCAAGCAAAACAGAAACATGTCCACACAAAGACTTGTACACAGATGTTCATTACAGCTTTATTTATCATAGCCCAACACCAGGAAGGAGCCCAATGCCACAGATATGTGAATCGATAAACAAATTTCAGTACTCGGCAACAAAAAGGAAGAAATTACTGCCATGCAGAACATGGATAAATCTCACTGACATAAGGCTGAGTGAAAGAAGCTAGATATCGAAAAGTATATACCATATGATTTAATTTATACAAAATTCTAGAAAATCTATATAGTGACAGAAAGTAGATCAGTGGTTGGCTAGATGTGGGTAGGTGAGGGAGAATAATTGCAAGTAGCACATGGTTATTTCTGGAGATGATGCAAATGTTCTATATTTTGATTGGGGTAGTGGTTACATGCATATATATAATTGTCAAAACTCAATGAAGTTGATTAAAAAAAAACACTGTGAAATAGTACAATTATAATTCATATTTTACCTATAAGAAAACAATGCATTGTGCTTAAAACATCCATGTTACTCTCTTCACAGAAGAATTGTCACCTCTAACTCAAAAAGTGTAGGGAAATTCTTTCAGGCTTTATATAAATACATGATATTAGTTTCTGGTTCTCAGATAATCAATAAATTTATATTAACTCACTGCTCCAAGAACACAGCAATTTCAAGAATTAAACATCAAAAGCAGCTGTCGAGACCTTTTTTTTTTTTTGCTTATATTCTTTCAAGTAGTCTGAGGTAATTTTACAAACAACATTTTATTTTCCTAATAATTTGCATTCATTGAAAGAATTTTGAATAGTATTGGTGGTATTGTTATAGCCTATTTTTGCCCAAAAATATAATTTCTAGTGATGTATGCTAATCATAGAACATGCAAATCAAATCCAAAAGTTCTGTATTAACATCTGAGAAAACAAAAATATTTTCCCTCTTTACAAAAAGAAAGAAAACCAAAGAACTGAGAGACTAATCAACTCATCCAAGAGCCAAGATTCAAACCCCAGTAGTTTTACTTTAAAGCCCACATTCTTAGCCACTATTTCATTCTGTTTCTATACAAGTGGAATATATTTATAATCTCCTTTTTTCTGGACACTATATATATATTTATGAGCACATAATATTTTATAATCAGAAAAAACATATATATTTAAAAAGATAGAAACTCTTCAGGACCTCCTTCCCAGATGACATTCAATCCATTAATCAGAACATGCTGGGGCCGGCCCCGTGGCTTAGCGGTTAAGCGCGTGCGCTCTGATGCTGGCGGCCCGGGTTCGGATCCTGGGCACGCACTGACGCACTGCTTCTCCGGCCACGCTGAGGCCGCGTCCCACATACAGCAACTAGAAGAATGTGCAACTATGACATACAGCTATCTACTGGGGCTTTGGGGGAAAAATAAATAAATAAACAAAATTTAAAAAAAAAAAAGAACATGCTGGATGTATTTGTTAATCTTTAGGAAGTCATTCACTAGCTGTACTATCTTCCAGTTCATATTGTTCATCTTGTTCACAAATATAACATGTAAAACTTCGTCAAAAGTCTTGCAAAAAATCATATATACTATAGCTATAGCATTTCTCTGATCCACCTATCTAGTAACTCTATAAAGGAAATAAGTTTGTAATAAATTCACGCTAGTTCCCAGAGACCACCATTTCCTCTTCCGTGTTCACAAACCATCTTTTTAATAAACTGGCCTAGAATTTTGCCCAGAATCTACATCAACTAACTCACTCCCAGATTATCCAAAGATTACAAACAGAAGTTCACTAATCATTAAAGCAAGTTCTTCTACTGAAATGAGATACAGTTCATCAGAGAGAGGAGACTCTCTCCTGGTTTATAAATAAACCTCATTTATAGTAGTAAGGCCCTTTTGTATAATTCCCTTATGTATTCTGCACTTTAGTTTCCTGCTACCAATATCTGCTTGGCCCTTTCCAGACTGGAAGTAATTCTTCTTGACCAAGAAGACAGAAATAAGAGGAGCTAACAAATTCTACTTTCTATAATCTGTTAATGTTTCCTCGCCAGGAAAACCTAGCAGCAAGACTACACTTGCTCTAAACATAACTAAAAAGCCTTACTCATATTTTCTGAAGGCCTCAAATAACTCAGAGATTTCTAGGTTCTGGAGCTATTCTTGCGGGTTCTGTCACTCCATCCTTGGTTTATGTCCTGCTTTTTATCTTCAGAACTTACAAGTGGACAGCTACTTTTGCTGTCCAATAGCCTCTGCAGACACTTCTTTCTTGCTTATTGGAATTACTTATGATTGCATTGTTAAATCTGCATTATTTTGTATCTCCCATTCCTCCTGAGAATACATCCCAATTATCTTCAAGAGAGAAGCTATATACTTGGCATAATTACCCTGACATTGCTTAAAATGTGTCTGGAACTCTGTCAAAAACTCCTTTCCAAAGTGAGTTCCCTCCCAAAATCAGTTTTATTACTTTACAGTCACATCTCCTCTTTGACTGAAATGATACTGCCCAGCTTGATCATCTATGATTATTAATAATAATAGCTAACATTTCCTGGGTATGTACTACGTGACAAGCACAACATTAAGGAGCTTTCCATATAGTATTTTCTGATTTAATCTTTACAACTCTAATGAGGACATATTATCACTATCCAATGTTACTGAAAAGACAGCAAAGACCTAAGTAACTGGACTAAAGCCACATAGATTCTAAATAATAAAGCTACATTTTTAGTCCAAAGCTGTCTGAGTTAAAAACAAACAAAAACCCAAGTTCCTTCTACTATACCTCCTAGCCATTCACATGTAGGCTACTTCTGAAGAGAGAGGAGAGTAAGATGTTTTAGTTTAAGTTTAGTAACTTATAAAATGAAATGATTTTAAAAATAAATGTATCAGAATTTATAAATCAAATATCTGAGAATCATAACAAAGTAATCACCTTGAGAAGCTTTCAAGTTCGGGAAATTTTCTTTCTTTCTTTCTTTTTTTTTTTTTTTTGTGAGGAAGATCAGCCCTGAGCTAACATCCGTGCTAATCCTCCTCTTTTTGCTGAGGAAGACCGGCTCTGAGCTAACATCTGTTGCCAATCCTTCTCCTTTTTTTTTTCCCCCAAAGCCCCAGCAGATAGTTGCATGTCATAGTTGCACAACTCTCCAGTTGCTGTATGTGGGACGCGGCCTCAGCATGGCCGGAGAAGCAGTGTGTCAGTGCGCGCCCGGGATCCGAACCCGGGCCGCCAGCAGCGGAGCATGCGCACTTAACTGCTAAGCCACGGGGCCGGCCCTCGGGAAATTTTCTAATGGAACAGTTTCTACAACATTTTATCTTTTAAAAAGATAAAAAGTCTTTTAAATATCTTCAATACTGGAAAATATTTATTTTTGAGGATAATTTCTATTTTAGAAACAGCTTGGTCATTTGAAACCAAGTCTTGTAAATCAGAAATAGTGATTTAGGGGCCAGCCTGGTGGCATAGTGGTTAAGTTCACATACCCCGCTTCAGTGGCCCAAGGGGTTAGTGGGTTGGATCCCGAGCGTGTCCCTACACACCGGCTCATCAAGCCATGCTGTGGCAGCATCCCACATACAAAATAGAGGAAGACTGGCACAGATGTTAGCTCAGGGCCAATCTTTCTCACCAAAAAAAAAAAAATGGTGCTTTAGGGGTGTATAATATCTTAGTACAGTTACACATTGCTAAACACAGGGACATGTTCTGAGAAACGCATTGTTAGGGGATTTCATCATTGTGTGAACATCATAGAGTGTACTTACACAAACCTAGATGGTATAGCCTCCTACACACCTAGGCCATATAGTACTAATCTTATGGGACCACTGTCATATATTTGGTCCATCACTGACTAAACTGTTATTATGCGACGCATGACTGTACTTGAAAACATGGCTTTGGAGTAGGCTAATCCTGAATTTGAGTCAGAGTTCTATCACCCCAACTTCTATTAAATTATTTAAATTCTCTGAGCTCTAGTTCCCTCATCTGAAAAACAAGAAAGGTATCATCTATCTCACAACCATTATGAAGATTAAACAGAATATCGTATATATAGCTTCTGGCATATATAATATATATGCATGGTAAAAAATAAACGTTTGTTTTCTCCTTCTCTTCTCCAGCATTATTTTAATCATTATTTCAAACTGTGAGCCACATATGATAAATCTGTCACTTAAGAAAGCAAGTGATTTTTTCAGTTTATCTGTTTTTCAACTATTGATTTTTTTGCTCTAAATTATATGAAACAGTATTTTGATGTAAGTAGAAGTTGATGGGCAACTTACCTGTGGAAACCATCTTTCAAAACTTCTTGCCTCAAAATAATTTCAGAACAAGTGGCCCTTATGCCTATAAGAACCAAAAAAAATTTTTTAAATAAAATAAGCACTCAATGAAAGAATATTTAAATAATTACAAAATAATTGTTTAGACGTTAGTTACCTGGAAAATCTAACCAACGTAAAAGCAAAACAAAAAATTTTTAAACTTAAGTAATTTGAGCTACATATAAATCTATTTCTAGTATAGCATAGAGGTTAAGTACATTGACTTTGGAGTTAGATTGCCTAGTTTCAAATCCCAGTCTGTCACTTAATAGCTGTGTGAATTTGGGCAAGATAGTTTACTCCTCTACTAGTGGTCATGAGACTTTAATATATGTAAAAGCACTTAGAACAGGGCCTACCACATAGTAAGTTGCTCCACATAAGTGTCTGCTATTAATATTATTTGATTCAGATGATCCCAGGACACCAAAAAGAACAGAATAGCTAAAGAGCCAAGAAATCTCAGTTTTAATCCTAGCTCACTGCAACTGTGTATCAGATACACACTAGCAACTTCTCTACTGTACTATCCACACCTATAAAACTGAGAAGGTGGTACATTTATGCCTTGTGGAGACGCTGAGGGTTTTAAAAAAAAAAAACTAGAGGCTTTTCAAAGGTTCAAAGGGTTCCTTTATAAACTTAGAATAACCAGAAATCTCACTATACTGACTCCATGCAGAATTCAGACATTAAAACTATCACTCAATGTCTGCATCATACAAGTAAATATTCAGTTATTAACGATCACCAACTCCTCCAGGCACCTTGCTACGGAACTCGACTCCATCTTCAAAAGCTGGAAGTGTGTGGGAAGAACATTAAAACACACAGAAAACCAAATACTACTGTATGTTGCTAAGCCCATTACATGTATTCCTGAAAAGATACATGAAAAAAAAATGGAGATGAAAACATTTTAAATATACAAGGAAAGGAAGGAAAAAAGTATGGAAAAAAACTTATTAAATAATATCTATATGACAGATGCTCTAGTTGGGGCTTTCACATGTGTTTTAACTTTCACAACCTAGCAAAAGAGGCAGGCAAAATTATTGCCATTTGTACACAAAAGAAAACTCTGACTTACAAACAGTTACTAACTGGCTCTGGCTCATACAAGTAAGTAAGGGACTGATTTCAAGCAAGATTTGCCTGACTTTTAAAGTCTAAGTATTTCCATTCTCCTAGCTATTTAAAGAAATACTTATTTGCTTTGGAGAAGCATATATAATCTTTTCCCAAATAACTTAGGGTATCTCTTGTACAAATCCAGACGTTTCTTCATCATATTTAACTTTAATGGGGGTGGAGTGGAGAGTAAGAGTTTATATCTACTTCTAAATTAAATTTTAAAAAAAGCTAAAATTAATAGGCTTAAATTCTATCGGGATATACACTAGAGAGTAGTAAACCACTTTTATCTTGGGATGGTAGAAAGGCTAATTTACAAGCACTATTGCAAATACCAGATGATGATTTTTAAGTCAAAAGTACCACTTCAAAACCAAGTTGTTGCATCGAAATTCACCTTCAAGATTTTTCCTCTTAAATGACTTCATTTGGTTATTGTGGCCTGAAGTGGCTCTGGATATTGACCCTTTTTTAACCATAAAATGCCAGTGCTGGAAATCTTGAGAGATCACCAAGTCCAGTTGTTGAAAAATTCTTTTGGGCCTCATAATCCTTTCCTCAAACAAATTTGGAAACCTAATATGTAAACGCTCAAAAGTGCTGCCTTGGTTGACAGATACGAATCTAATATCTTCATTTTACAGACGGAAAAAGCCACCTGGTTTGTACTGACTTTCCTTTCCCTATGAAACATCATCGCTTTATTTTAATTACTACTGCACGTATCCATCTCCTGCACTACACCGCACGCTCCACGAGGCCTGGACCCACAGCACCTAGCACAACACTCCGGTCCACGGACTCCGACCCAAACAAATAAATTCACTCGCCTGCCCAGCCCGGAGTCATAACGAAACGCCAGCCCCAAAAATGTTCGTAAACCATAACTAGTTGTCTTCTCCTTCTCACGCCGCCCGAGTCTCTGTATTCCGGATTGGGATTCTCACACGTCACGGGGCACTGAGGCCTTGCAGGCCCCTGCTGGTCAGAAGCTTCACGCATCCCAAGAGCATCCCAAGACGCTCCACGGGTGTCCTTCCTTTACAACGTTTTAGTGATGGTGCGGCCAGTGCCACCTCTGAACGACCAAGTCCGACTCTCCAGAAACCCAGGAGCTGCCGCAGAGCAATGCGTTGGGGGGTGAGAGGGACACGTGGCCTTTGTCTTTAACGTGCTCCAGCTAGGGTCACCCTACAGTTCTAGGGGTGCGCGCCGGGGTGCAACAAAGCACTTTTGCACACCCCGGAGGGGGCCGGGAGTCGGGACGGCTCCCCAACCCATGGGCCCCCCAAACCCCGCCCTCACTCCGGCAGCCCCGCCCCTCTCCTTACCAGCGTCGGCAGCGAAGGCCGTGGTGGGCGTGCGGGTGAGCCGGGCCGCCTCCCAGAGGAGCAGCCAGGCCACCGCCCGGACGGCCACGGCCGCGGCAGCCAGGACGCCGGAGAAGGCGCACCAGAGACGAACGCGCACACCCCTCACACCGCTCCTGGAGTTTGTGACCCGGACGGGACACTCAGTGCGCGCACGCCGGCCGTCCCACAGTTCCCGGCGCCCCGCAGCCGCGGCCCCTGAAAGTTCCGGCGTCGCGGCAGGCAGCCGTCCTCGCACCCTCGTTTGCTCCCGTCTCCGCCCCGCCCCGCTCGGGGGCGGGGCGAGGAGCGGCGCAGGCGCATGAGGTGCGCCGGCGCTGTTGCTGTGGGGACGGGATTGTGGACCCCCAGCCCGGCCCTGACCCCAGCATGCTGTCCTGGAAGCCGGCTTGCCGAGCTCCCGACCTCCACTTCCGCTTCCAGGTATTTGCGGATCCGGGCCTGCTCCCGGAGAGTGCACCCCACAGTCACGTCTGCGGGGTCGTGGCTGTCGCCTGTCCCTGCAGCGCCAGGCCCCGCCCGGCCTCCAAGTCAAGTGCTTCTCTGTGCACCGCAGTTGGGTGAAAACAACCCCCTCACGGCGGTTTTAGACATTGGCCTGCAAGAAAAGATGCACTTTCTATACTTCTCTTAGGGTAAGAAAGTCAGCCTTGCACTAGTGGGGACGTGAGGGAGAACATCGTCTACCTGTTGGCAAAATCCGTACAATTCTAGGTGCTGTGGGGGATGCTTGGCAAGATGGTGGCAGTCACTGATCCCTGAGGTGAGGAGTATTAATGTCTAGGAGGAAGAGTTAGGTAAATGTGTCGTCTGTCTTCATGAAGCGAATTGAATCTCTAAGTAGGCCCAGAGAGTATCAAGTGCAGGTTGGAGCGGAACAGAGGGCCTGAGGACGGATGTCTCAAAAAGGAAAGATGTCAGAAGATTATCTAAAACTGAAAATCGCAGTATAAGCATGCTATTAAGAAATACTGAGATGAATTTTGGAGGAAACAATTGAAACTGGTTGCCTATGGAGAGGGAAAGGTCAGAGGACAAGAGATTTTGTTATAAACCTCATAGAATTATTTTACATTTTTAAACAATACAAACATTACTTTAGTAAAAATAGAAGTTAAAATTTAAAAAGAAGGAAAAGAGTCTGTAGTCAAAAAACTGCATTATTCAGTATCAGTTGCATAGCTGATTCATAAGTACAGCCATTTGCTTGAGTGTGTGGAATTCACACTGTGCTCAGTACAATCTCCTAGAAAGTTTACTAACAGACCAATTTTTAGAGAGGTGAACTGGGAGTAGTAATTGTTACAAAAATAAATAAATAAGAAGAAAGAGGGGATGGGGTGGGATCATTGCATCAGATCAGAGGCAGAGCACAGTAATTTGAAAAAACAGTTCTTTATATATGATTAATTTTCTAACAGTAAAAATTCTCACATCCAACAATAAGGGGTGAATAATATAGATTATGATATATCCATAGGACGAAACACTTGGCAGTCATAAAAATTTGCATTTTAGTAAAATATTTAATGACAAAAATCACATAGATCGTTAAATTTAAAAGGCAGGAAATAATATGTACAATATAAAAAAACACTGTTGTTTAAAAAAGTGAAACTGTATGCCTAGAAAAAAGACTGGAAGGAATCAGTGATTCTTTTATATATTTTGCCTTCTCCCCCTCCCCCATCACCACCCTTAGTTTTCTACAATGAATGTGTATTAAATAACTATATTCCTATAGTGATTTTGTAGCAGAACTGAGTTTATGAAGATATTGTCACCCTATGTTAGGTTCCTTGACATTTGCAAATCTTCTTGAGAATATCATAATGACATCTAAAGCAGTCCCATAATAAAGTGTATTTTGGCATTGGGGACAGGGAAGGGAAGAGGGAATAGAAAGTATTAACTTGCAAAACAACTGTGTTTCTTGTAACTGAAAAAACATCATATAGTGAGACAAATAAGTTGAAATAAAAGCCATGTAAGCTTTATTGCCTTGTATATGTCGAGGCTGATTCTGCATCGGATCTGCCTTTTTGATCAGACTTCTAGACTGTAAACACGTAGAGGATGTACGGGGGCTGTGTCTTATATTAATACATTGAATTAAACGAGTATGTATAGAATGCCTACTATCTTCCAGGTATTGTGCTGGGATATTGTGGTGAACAATGAATATGTTCCCTGCCCTCATGGAGCATATAGAATAGAAGGGAAGATAAATGATTAGATAAGTACACAACACAAACTCGATGAGTAAAATGATTAGGAAAGTGCAAAGGAGACAGATCTGATCTGGTTGAACCTCTCAGGACATAATGTTTAGGATTCAAAAATTCTTACTACCTTGACATAGAGGATGCTTGTACATACTTGTTTAGTTGGTAAATAAAAGAGATCCTGTAAGTCGATTCTTAGGCTGACGCAGGGATTCATATACAATGTTTGGTTACGAGTACAGTACACTAAGAGGTCCAGACTGAACTGCATTTCCAGGCTCATGTGTGAACAAACCTACACCCCTCAATGAACTAGAGATCCAGCAGACTAAGGATAACCCAAGGCCAAACTGAACTTTCAGGGTAGCTCTTGAAATATTGAGCATGATAGGCTGAGCATGCATCTCTAGAACTGGACTAGAGCCAGATCTGCTGGGGATGAGAGAGGGTGATTTATCCAACACTTAATTTTTTTCCACTTTAGCAGGAAGTCATTATATGACTAACACATCTTCATCAGATTTCCTCTGATTTACCCTGAAGTGTATATGATGATGTGCACTGCCAAGAAATGTGGAATTAGGTTCCAGCCTCCAGCTATTATCTTAATCTATGAGAATGAAATGAAGGGAAAAACTCGCCAGCGCATCATGCCAGTCCGAAACTTTTCAAAGTTTTCAGGTACCTCATATTTTATCTTGCCTATCTTAAATATTCTCTAAATTACTTAATAAGAATGACTTGAGTCTCACGTAATGGAGTGACACGGCTTTCAGAGTTAGACAGATCTAGATTCAAATCATGACTCTTTCAGGGTTAAATTATTTACTCTCAGTGAGCTTCTGTTTCCTAATCTGTAAAAGGAAATTGATAATCCCACCCTTTCAGAATTGCAGTGTGGGTTAAATGAGATAGCATTATTCAATAATATTAATTCCCTTCGCTCCCTCCAAATGTGTTTTTTGTTTATAGTCTTGCTATTTTCTTAGTACCAGTTCTAATATCTAAAGCTGTAATACTGCTTTTTCTTCTCAGACATTCTCTCTAGTTGAAAGTGTTTAACATCTTCTCAAAGTAACTTTAAGTTAAGGCAATCAAAAATACATCCCTCTTTCCCCCACCACACTCACAGCTCAATATAAAGGAATAGTTCTGCAAAATAATTCATTCCAAAAAAGCCACTTAGCTACTTGGCTGTAATGGCAGATAATGCTTTCAGTAGTTTGTGGTGTATATGTTGTGTGTGGTATATAGTTTTGTTACTCTTTCATAGATTGCAGCAGAGCTGCTGAACAATTAAAGAATAATCCACGACACAAGAGCTACCTGGAACAAGTATCCCTGAGGCAGCTAGAGAAGTTATTCACTTTTTTACGAGGTTACATGAGGGGCCAGAGTTTGGCAGAAACAATGGAACAGATTCGACGGGAAACAACCGTTGATCCTGAGGAAGACCTGAACAAACTAGATGACAAGGAACTTGCCAAAAGGAAGAGCATCATGGATGAACTTTTTGAGAAAAATCAGAAGAAGAAGGATGATCCAAATTTTGTTTATGACATCGAAGTTGAGTTCCCACAGGATGAGCAACTGCAGTCCTGTGGCTGGGACACAGAGTCAGCTGACGAGTTCTGATATCAAAAACTCAAAAAATTTATTGAGCCAGCAGAAAATCCATGTTTATGCAAAGAATGTAGATTGGTTCTAGAAAAATCTGTAAAGAACACTAAATGTACATGTCGCGTCATATTTGGATTGAGCGTGTTACTTTTCAAAACCAGGACATGTATAACATTACTGTGTAGGTGCATGAGGAATATAGGAAAAACCGAATATAGGAATCTGCCTTTAAGGAGCTTACAATCTAACTGGAAGATAAGTCAAAAACTTGTGAAGAGCTAATTAACAGTATTAGGCAGCAAAAAAATTAGAGCCAAATGCTTGATAAAGGTTAAAGAGGGTCAGAGCCTAGATCACTGTGGGGTAGAATAGTCGGGGAAGAATGTCCTGTAGTGGCAAGACGGGAATTTGCCCAACCCTTGAAATGGTATTATTTGGATAGAAGGTTATAGAGGATTCCAGATGAGAGAAATTGGAAGAAAAAAAAAAGGGACGGGGGGGTTGGTAAAGAGATAGGAATTAGAACATTTTATTTGAGGAACAGTAAGCAAATTATAGTTTGATAAGATTGGAGGACATAGTTGGTTACCAGGGGATTATCTTGTATACCTTATGTCTTTATCTGTATTTAACTCTGGAGTAGAAGAGTACCCCTGCAGAATGCCCTGCAACTGCAAGGGAATGTCATTTGATGGACAACGGGAATGCTGCCCCTCCGGTATCAGGAAATATATACGAAAGACATTCTGAAACCCTGAACCTCTTCCCGTAAATAAGAGGTTTGTTTGTAAAATGGGAAATCTGCCCATAATAAATGAACAATAGGTACTGCCAGTTTAGGCCTATTCGTGAGTTTGGATCTACAAAGAGAAGGTCTTTGTTGAATAAGGTTATGTGTGTACAAATATACCTTTCTTCTTATTAGAATATTATTTAATTGGTAGAAATCCTATCTTTTCTGCAAGGAAATTATTACTCAATAAATAAAACTGTAAAAATTATTCACTCTTTCTCCCTGTCACACCCTACTCTCTTTACCATTAAAAGCCGCATTAAAGAGATCGTTCTTACAGTGATATCACCAGGGACTTAAGACAGTTGTGTCTCGTATGTATATTTGCCAAAGGTAGCAAAAGAATTTTCAAAATTGGAGATCCTTCCATATCTACGTAGTATTCCACTGTATAGATGTAGATATATTTTAAAAGTTGACCTTAGGTTGTTTTCCCCTTTCACTATTACAGCCAATACCCACAGCAGATAACCTTGTATAGTCTCTATTTTGCACATGTGCAAGACCATAAATAACGCCTAGAGAGGAATTGCTGGGTATGTGCGTTCTAAATTTTAATAGTTACTGCTAAGTTGTCCTCCAAAGAGGTTCATCCATTCATTCGTTCATTCAGTATATGTACTTAATGAGCAACTACTAGATGCTCAGCCTGTACCGTTCTAAAGTCTGGGAATACAGCAGTATGCACAACAAAGTTCTTGCCTTTACAAGGTTTACAGTCTAGTTGGAGTGGGGAGACAAACATAGATACATAGGATAATGTCATGTGATAAGTGCTCAGAATTAGAAACAGTAAAAAGAATGCCGGAGGGGATGGGAGCCACTGTTTTCAATGGGTGATCGGGTGACATTTGAGCAAAGGCCTGAAGGAGGAAAGCAAAAATTGATGTGCATTTCAGGGGTAGTGGAGAAAGGTGAGTGCATGGCTCCCGGGGCTGGAGTGTGCTTGACATATCTGAGGAAGAGCAAGGAGGCCAATGTGGCTAATACAGATTGAGCAAGAGGAAAATGGTAGGAGATGAGGTTGGTGATGAGTACTTGCACGGTACTTACCATGAAGGTTGTACCAACTTAAACCATCAGCAGTACATGAGAGTACCTATTTCCCCATATGCTCATCAACAGAGACTGTTACCAAACTTGTTGATCTTTGCCAATTTTATAATTTAAGAATGGTGTCTTATAGTTTTAATTTGCATTTCTTTTATTATGAGTGAGACTAAATATCTTCATACATTTAAGAGCCATTTTTTATGATATAACTGTTATGTCCTTCTTCTGTTGGGTTACTGGTCTTTTTCTTACTGATTTATAAAACATTTTTTATTAAGGAAAATAGTCCTTGGTCTATATATGAGTTGCAGATATTTCCACCTTGTCATTTGTTTTTTGACTTTGTTTATGATATTTTTTCCAGGCAGATTTTTTTTTTAGTCAAATTGATCAATGTTTTTCCCTATGCATTTTGTGTCATATAGAGAGAGGCATTCCTCACTCCAAGATGTTTTCAGTATTTTTTTGGGTATAAGATGTGAGATATAAGTCTAACTTTACTTTTCTCCAGATGCCCATCCAACTGTCCCAACACCATTATCTATTGAATTACCTATCTTTTCTCCCATTGATTTGAAATGCATCCTTTATCTTATACCAAGTTCCCATATGTATCAAAATAGTTATCTTTTGATTATGTTAATATCTGCAGCACCCTTCCCAATCCATGCTTTTTTAAGGTTTACTGAGCACATCTCATGTGTTCACTAAATTAAGAGCTATAGAAAGATACAAAATGGGCCATAACTTTTGCCTTTGAGATCTTAACACGGTTTAGCCAAAGCAACAAAACTAGCGTATGTGAGACAGAGGTACTGACTATAATTGGAGCAGAAGCGAGAGATAATATGAGCTGAGCAGTTGTGCTTTTTTCTCCATGTATCTTGTCCAAAGCTAACTCTTTTGCTGAGCTCTTTAAAATTTTTTTCCATTATAAAATTAATACATATTTAATATTCATTATTTTTATAATTTAGACAAATACCAGAGTGTAAAAGTGAAATGGGAAAATTCTCCCCTCACCTTCTCTCCATTCGCACTCTGCAGAGAAATTGGCTTCCCTAGAGGACTCTGGATCCCATCTTCTTTTGTGACCTTGCTTCATCAATTATTCATCTCTTTCTATGCCCATCTTTCTCATTTTCAGCTTCGTTCTTTGCTGGCTCATTCTCTGCCGGCTGTAAACATATGTAAGACCCTGCCGTATTAAAACAAGAAAACACTTGACATCTCCTTGTCTTTTCCTAATACAGCATCTAACCAAATTTTAGCTCATCTAGTTGTTAGGTAAATCTAGCCCTTGCCACCCCCACTCACCTGCCTTGCTCTAAAAGCAGATCTGGCTCTAGTCCAGTTCTGGAGATGCATGCTCAGCCTATGAAGCTCAATACTTCAAGAGCTGCCCTGAAAAAAAGTTAAAGAAAATAAAGGAGAAAATCTTCGTGGCATTGGTGCCTTAGTCAGCTCAGGCTGCTATAACAAAATACCATAAACTGGGTGCCTCATAAACAACAGAAATTTATTTCTTGTAGTTCTGGAGACTGGAAGTCTGAGATCAGGGTGCCAGGCTGGTGGGTTTCTGGTGAGAACCCTCTTCCAGGTTGCAGACTATTGACTTCTTGCAGTATCCTCACATGGTGGAGAGCAGACCCCAGCAAGCAAGCTCTCTCCTGACTCTTTTAAGGGCATTAATCTCATTCATGAGAGCTCCACTCTAATTGTCTCCCAAAGGCCCCATCTCTTAATACCATCATATTAAGGAGTAAGGTGTCAACATACAAATTTGGGGAGGATATAAACATTCAGTCCATAACACTTGGGTTAGGCAAAGAGGTCTTAGAATTGACACCAAAAGCATGATCTATTAAAGAAAGAAATTGATATATTGGACTTCATTAAAATTTTAAAATTTTGTACTCCAAAGACAACATCAAGAACAAAAAAAGACAATCCACAGACTAAAAGGAAATATCTGCAGATCATATATCTGAAAAAGGACTTGTATCCAGCATATATAAAGAGCATTTACAACTCAGTAATAAGAAGAGAAAGAACCCAGTTTAAAAGTGAGCTAAAGATTTGAATATACATGTCCCCAAAGAAGATATGCAAATGATTGATAAGCACATGAAAAGATGCTCAACATTACCAGCCATTAGGGAAATGCAAATTAAAACTAAAATGAGATCCTACTTCACACCCGCTAGAATGTCTATAATAAAAAAAGATAATATGTATTAGTGAGGATGTGGAGAAATTGGAACCGTCATGCATTGCTGGTGGGAATGTAAAATTGTACAGCCACTTTGGAAAACAGTTTGGCAGTTTCTTAAAAAGTTACACATAAACTTACTGTAGTACCCAGCAACTCCACCCCTAGGAATCTACACATGAAAAATGAAAACATATGTCCACCCAAAGACTTGTACTTGAATGTTCATAAAAGCATTATTCATACTAGCCTAAAAGTGGAAACACTCCAAATATCCGTCAGTTGGTGAGTGGAGAAACAAAATGTGCAATATCCATACAGTAGAGTACTATTCCACAATAAAACATTATGCTAAGTGAAAGAAGCCAGACACAAAGGACTACATATCAGATATCCATTTATATGAAATAGCCAAAAAAGGCAACTCTGTAGAGAAAAGCAGATTAATGGTTGCCTGGGGTTGGGGCTGAGGAATGGGAATTGACTGCAAACGGGCATGAGAGACATTTTGGAGGTGATGGAAACACTCTAAAACTGGATTGTGTGATGTTTGCACAATTCTGTAAATTCACTAAAAATCATTGATTTGTGTACTTAAAAACAGGTGAATTTTATGGTATATATATTGGGGTATATAAGTTATACGTCACTAAAGCTATTAAAAAATAGGAAATAGAATCAATGTCTACAGATCATTTGTTCTAAGAATGAACAAGAGGGGGTCAAAGATACATGTAAAACCTCTTTGAACCCAAAGAGAGATGGAGACTGAAAAAGGTTGGAGAAGGGACCGAATAAATGCATTCATTCAGTAAACAATTTTTTTTTATTTCTTTATTTTTTCCCCCAAAGCCCCAGTAGATAGTTGTATGTCATAGCTGCACATCCTTCTAGTTGCTGTATGTGGGACGCAGCCTCAGCATGGCTGGAGAAGCAGTGCATCGGTGCGTGCCCGGGATCCGAACCCGGGCCGCCAGCAGCGGAGCGCGTGCACTTAACCACTAAGCCACAGGGCCAGCCCAGTAAACACTTTTTGAGTATTTACTCTGTGGA